AATAACGTAGCTGAAGTTCGAAGTACCTTAGTTCGAACTTACCTCGGTCCACCCGCGTCAGGCAGCCTCCTCCATCGACGCCGCGGTACTCCTCTCGCCAAGCTGGAGTACCGCAGTCGACGGCGAGCACTTCTGGGTTCGACTTATCGCGTCCAGACAAGACGCGATAAGTCGAACCCAGAAGTTCGATTGCCAGCCGCCGAACTAGCGGCTGGGTATAGACGTACCCTAAGATCAGGAGATGGGAAGACAGGACAGGGACAAATTGGAGGGGACACAGGCAGAAGGGTCTGTGCCCACTACAGCACACTCTACAGAACCTGGAATTAAACCCAGGATTCCCAAATCTCTACATTGCTCTGATGTCAGCAAATAGCTGTGAAAGCCACTGGAAAACTGTCTCACTCATTCCCCTCTAGGGCTGGTCCACAAAGAGGAGGGAACCTACTACTCCTTTCAGTCATTCTGTTAGTTCAAGTAGCAGAGGTCTGTGTTGTGGAGGTAGGGGTTCCAACCCTGTGTTAAAGGGGGTTAATATGATTCCATAAGATGGAATTTGTTTTTCGTTTGCCTATTTAAAAATTTAGAGCAGGTCTACACTTAAAACGCTGCAGTACCATGGCGCTGCTTTTAAGATGCAGCTACTCTGACAGGAGGGCTTCTCCCAACAGTGTAGTTAATCCACTTCCACAAGAGGTGGTAGCTATGTTTAGGGGAGAAGCCCTCCCATCAACAGCACTGTCTATGCCAGCAATTAGGTTGGTATAACTGCATCGCACAGGGGTGTGTATTTTTCACAACCCTAAGTGACACAGTTATACTGATACACCTCTACCCTGATATAACGCAACCCGATATAACACGAATTCGGATAGAACGTGGTAAAGTAGTGCGCGTGGGGGGGGGGGGGGGCTGCGCACTCCGGTGGATCAAAGCCAAGTTCGATACAACGCAGTTTCACCTATAACATGGTAAGATTTTTTGGCTCCCGAGGACAGCATTATATCGAGGTAGAGGTGTATAAGTTTATAGTGTAGACCTGGCCATAGGAAGTTACACACAAAACTAAGTTGAGAGAGAACATTAAGGTTGCAAAAATACTCAAAAATTAGGATATGCCAGAATTAAGGTTGCTTCTCATAACTATGAGAAGACAGAACAGGTAGGGAGGAAAGCAGGAATATCTCAAAGTAAAGTCTTGTGCTCTCTTTCTCCAGCACAAGCCACAGGAGATGAGGGGTAAAACCAGATTTCAGCTATAGCAAATGCATGCAATATAAATCATTTCACACATTAAGCCAAAATGGTCCACAACAAAAACCAGGTACCTGCAGACTCAGTCTGTAAGATAGCTGGGACTTCTCTTGGTCTCAGGTGACTAACTTCACTGTTGCTATAGCGAACAGGGGTTTCTTCATGCTCTGCTGACTTGGCAGGAAGAAACTGCTTCATGCCTTTCCAC